CAACCTTGGTCACATATTTATCAGCCCTATTGTGGAACAGGTAGTCCACATGAGTCCACTTATTGTCAGGAATGCGATAATCCATGAGTAGATCCACTTTGAGCTCACTTTTAAGTCTTTGCAGATCCTCGTGACCGCTGAAGATGTCATTTTCGGGTGACTCTATGAACGCGATTCTGTGGGAAGTAATGTTAGCCAAGGGATAGTCGGGTGACTTCGGGGAGCCGTAGAGATAGAGGTTCTGAGACAAGCCGTAGTCGTATCGCCCGAAGTTGTCGTTTGAGATCATCTGCAGATAGTGTGACAACACGAGTGTCGACGACTCGTCGATGAGGTGTGCGGCCATGGCGTTCATGTATGCCATGTGGTCAGTCAGCTCCTGTCCGCTCAGTATTTCTGTCGTCAATTTGCGTAAATATCCGAATCGTATTAAAGGCATCGGAAATGCCCTCAAAAACGGCTCAAGTATTGTAAATTGCTTTAAATATTTGGGAAGACGTGACAAATAAACGACAGGCGCTAACGCTATGAACGGATCAATTACTCCGGAATATTCTGGTTGTGATGACAGTAATGCAAACATGAGTGTCGTTCCCATGGAGTAGCCGATGTAACCAATCTTCGGTTTGTCTGTCTGTTTGCGTATATAGTCGATGATCACCGGGAGGTCTATTTGGCTCAACTCGTCGATCGTGAACCTCCAGAAGTGGTGATCCTCTTTGGGGTCGAGTGTCGTGTGATTTGTTGAGTACTTGTTTCCTCTGATGTTTGACAGCCACACGTCGTAACCACAGGCGGACAATACAAACCCAAGTGTTTTGCCCACTCTTAGAAGTGGTGATCCTCTTTGGGGTCGAGTGTCGTGTGATTTGTTGAGTACTTGTTTCCTCTGATGTTTGACAGCCACACGTCGTAACCACAGGCGGACAATACAAACCCAAGTGTTTTGCCCACTCTTGCAAGACGATTACAATCCGTAACCCTATTGTCTTCACTGTATTTTCCATTCGCATCAATGGATCCAATTCTTGACACTAGAAACTCGTCTGAATTGGCAGTGAATCCGTGTTGCAATAGGATTGGCTTCAAATCACTTGATTTGTGCCTTAAATATGGATTTATGATGCGATATACTGTCAGAATATATCCATCACTGGTTGTTATGTAATGAGTTTGTGTCTCAAAATTTCGTGACTCTATTAATTGTGGCTAATATAAGACAAAAGCAAATTAATTATTATATATGATAATTATAATATATAATATTATGATATTATATATTAATTCAATGATAATAATATAAAATACAGTTATGTTCATACAGTAGTCCTTTTAAGGTCCTTTTGATCTTTACCCATATTTTGTGATTCAATTCTGTGACATAAAATTAATCCAATTATTAGATATAAGAAAAGTTTATTATCGAAAATATAATTCATTTTAATAATAATTTTGTTTATTCATAAAATGTTTATATCGATATTAAAACACACGTTTCCTTGACATTGAAATGAAAGCAAAAGTACAACTAATTAATAAGTATTTCATTTGGTATTAATATAAATTCGTACTTAAATACAATATTTTTTGCACTTAAGTTAATTTTGAACCCAATTAAACTTTAGTACTGTACTAAACTTTATGCGATAATCTTGACAACAAATACTTGTCTGCATTTTAGTTAATCCTAGGATTAGTCT